GTGAATATTCCAATGTAGGAGAGCTATATCTTGGTTATTTTATGAGTGAAAGTGCTGGTAAGTGTTGGGGAATCTGGGGGGGAAGGAGCTAGGGGGTGTTGTGACATCAGTGATTCCCATGTGTAACCGGGAGGGAGTGGAAAGGATAGAGGGGATGGAGGGAAGGAGAATGTGTGTTTAGTTGGAGTTGTAGGGGGTGGGTTGTTGGGTGGGAGTAGGAGGAAGTGGTGTGGGGGGAATATTAGTTGTAGGAAGATGAATATTGGAAGGATGGATAGTTGGAGTTTGAAGGGGATGTGTTGTCTTGGGAGGGATTAGGAGGAAGGGGTGTAGGGGTGCTATGAGTAAGAGGGGGATGGATATTGGTGGTGGACGGAATTGAGGGGGTTAGGTTGTGCTGAGAGGGAGTAGGAGGAAGGGATGTAGGGGGAATATGAGTAGGAGGGGTAGGGATATCAGCAATCACTTCAAGTGTAGAGGGAGCATGAGTTATGGAATTTTGTGTCTCAAGCATATAGCTATGAATGTCTTCCATAATTTCTGCAGTGCAGTTGGTTGGAGAGTTTTGTGGGACAAAGGTTTCTTATGAGGGGGGGAAGAGGAGACTGGTGTCTGAGGAGTAAAGGTAGGTGGAGGTGAGTGTGCGGTAGGGGAAGAAGGGGTGGAATGTTTAGTCTGTCTACTGCAGGTAGTGCGGGGAGGGAGAGGGGATGGTGTTGGGGTTGTAGTTGAGATTGGAGCTGTGGTTGAGATTGGGATGTCTGGATTTAGAGTGGCAAAAGAATTTGATTGGGAGAGGTTGAATACAGAAGTTGAAGTGGGGAAGTAAGTAGGTATAGGGGAGGGTGTAGGAACATCTTGAGGTGGAGGGGGAAGGGCCAAGTGAGCAACATTACTGGAGTAAGAAGAATAAGAGAAACTTTGTCGGCATGCTTCCTGTCTGGCTTCATGTAGAGTGAGACCATTTTTGTATCTGAGAGCTGCTACCTCAGACTTGAACTTGTAAGTGGGACAGCCTCTATAAAATACATTATGGGGTCCGCCACAGTTTGCACATGTGCGTGTTTGTGCAGGGCAGTGTGATCTGTTATGACCAGGTTAGGCACAGAAGGGGCATCGGTCTGTAGAGCGGCAGTGTTTGGCAGGATGTCCAAATCACCAACAATTTTGACATTGACGGGGAGGAGGTTGGTATGGTTGAACAGGGAGGGATTGTCCACCAATGTAGATATGAACGGGAAGGTCATGTGTACTATAATTAATTTTAGCAACGTTGATGGGTTTCTTTCGATGACCTCTAGGAGGAATGGAGTAGCAATGTACTGATATCATGTCCTGGTCTTCGAGGCAGCCGAGCAAGTCTTCTCCACAATCTGACCAATCTTTGGTATCGACTGGGCAGTTTGCTGGGGAGATAAAGTTCCGGTACAAGTATTAAGAGTTGGATGAGGTTCTGCAGGGATAGGATTGCCAGAGAGATCAGTTAGTTTTGATAATGCTATAGCTTCAGCTTCAGATCTGACTGTTACGAGACAGGAGCGGTAGCGTCGGGTACGGAAAGGGACTCTGCCAACATGTTTTTGGAGACATTGTTGAAAGAGAGGAGTGTTGCCTGAGTAAGGAGCTGTAGGGGGATCACAAAAAATCGGTCCCATTTAGCTGGGCTAAATAGTGTAGTTAAGATATTTGTAGGGTTGGTGGTGGTAGAAGGACAGGGGTGTGTGGAAGTGGGAGTGTTGTTGAGGGGAGTAGTATTACAGAGAGATGGAGAATAAGGCTGTAAGGTAGTAAGAAGGGTGGTTGGGGTGTTTGATGAAGAAGGTTGTAGGGGTAAAATTGATGAATTTGAGGAAGTTGTGAGGGTAGGAATGTCTTCTAGAGATTGAGTCTCTGCTTGGGTGGGTAATGCACTAGTAGGCATTGAGGAGTGGGTAGTAGTAGTTTCAGTGTTCGGAGTCATGCTTAAAGGAGAGCCTGGGGTCAGGGAGCCGGTGGGGCTATTTGATGAAGGGGCAAGACTCATTGCCCCTAATAGGGGTATTACATCTTCATTACTGGCCATGGAAAGCCTTGATTACGTAAAGGGACATAAACAGTCCACCCCCCAGGGCCCTGGAGGGGGTAAGGGCTAGACAACTGAATCGGGAGTACTGTGCCCATGGAGATCCCTGCATTGGGTCTCAGTCTCCGTCTCCTAAGCCCCCCCACGACAACAACGGGCAAGGGATTGGGGGGGTGGCTTAGAGGGAGCCATGGGCATGGTATTCCCTTTTAGTTGTCAAGCTCTTACTCCACAACGGGATCCTGAGGGGTAGACTATTTCTCTTCCCAACATACTCCTGGCTTACCATGGCCAATAATGAATATTTTGCATGCTTATTAGTGTTATTGAAGCTTGCCAATTTATCAACTGGTCCCACTGATTTTGATTCCCTAATTCCAACCCCAGGCTCTCCTTAGAGCACAATTCTGAACACTACTACTACCCCCTCCTAAACACCTACTATCACCTCCGTCCAGTCCAAATAACCAAATAGTCAATCCAGGTCATTACTCAACTGCCAGGAAACATTCCTCCTCTCCCATCATCCTCTATTTCATTTACTACCCCCTCCTTCCTTATTACTACTCTATCCTTATTATCCATCTCTCCGCAGTACTACTTCCTTCAATACCACTCCTTCTTCCACAAGGCCCCACTCTTCTACTACCCCCACCTCTACAGTTCTTTTAATTACACTATTTTGCCCAGTCAAATAGGATAAGTTTTTTTGTGATCCACTCTACAGTCCTTTTCTGTAATAACATTACTGTGATAACAATTCTCTTCTAACAATGCCTCCTAAAACAAGTAGGCAAAGTTTCCTTCTGCAGCCAACCCAGTCATTCCTGCCTTGTCACAGTTACATCTGAATACCAAGCTAAAGCACTGACTGACTTCACTAGCAAACCTATTCCTGCCAAGCCTCATTCCTCCCTCAATACTTGTACCGAAATGATCTTCATCTCTCTGAAAACTGCCCTGTCTATGACAAGGACTGGTCAGATTGTGAAAAAGAATTTCTTACCTGCCTCATGGACGATGATGCAGTATATGTACAATGCTACACCATTCCCCCTAAAGCCGCTGTTAGTCCTCTACCAATATTGCCCATATTACCTTCCATACACAACTTCCCCTTTAGGTTTATATTGGCAGAGACTCTCCCTGTCCAACCATATCAACCTCCACCCTATCAGTGTCAAAATTATTGGCATTTAGGTCACCCTGCCAAACACTGCCATTCCACAGCCCTCTATGAACCCATCCTGGACATGATTGATCAAACTGCTTTGCACAGTCATGCATAAAATTGGTGGCTCCCATAATATATATTATAGGGACTGCCCTACCTACAAGTTTGATTTTGAGGTGGTACCTCTCAGATCAATACATGGCCTTACTTTATGCGAGGTCAGACAAGAAGCACATCAACAGGGTTTTTCTCCTACTACATACTCTGATGCTGCCCTTCACTCTGCCCCTCCCCCTTCCTCTCAAGATGCTTCTACATCCCCCTTTATTAATTATTATTTGCCTCCCAATCAAATTTGTCTTTAGTTCTAAATTCAGACCCTCCAATCTCTACCAATGTCCTGACACCTAACCCTATCCATCATTGCTCTACCTGTAGCAGACAATCTAAATATTCACCCAATCTACCATACCCTCTTCTCTACGTATCCCTTGCTCTACCCCTCAGATACCTATCTCTTCTCCCCCCCCTTGTAAGAAAACCTTTGTTTGTCAGATCTCCCCAACCAAATGCACTTCAGAAACTCTCAAAGACATTCAAAACTATCTTATTATAACCCAAGATAACAAGCCTACACTTTATCCATTTTCCAATGTATCTGCTCCCTTTCCCACAACACTCAAAGTAAGTGCATGCATCCATCCTCCACCTATTATCTCTCCCCATAATCCCATTCCCCCTGCATCATCTACATCATACCTTCTCCCTTCCCCATTATCCTTTCCACTTCCCCCTGGATACACATGTGACTTTGTCACAACCCCTTTCCCTGGATTCTCTCTCTCCCAGAACCGTGATCTAATAGTACTTAAACCCCCTTTCTCCTTTTGCTAATTCCCCCCTTACCCTAGGGACATCCTTGCAGAATCTCACACTTTTCCCTTTGACAGCCTTGATCTCATCACCCTTGTTAATCTTCATCTTGGCCCATTTACTCACCCTCTCTACCTTCAACCTTCTTTGATCCTTTAACTTGTAGAATCTTCAATCAACTAGCCTCCCTTCTTACAGTTTTCACTAACACACCTTTCTATATTGCTGTATGACCTTGGATGTCTAGTACATATATTTCCTCCATTCTTATATGTGCATACACACAAATGCATCCCCCCCACACACATACAGTCAAATGATATGGTAATTTCTTGGTTTACATTGCATATATCGTTCAAAGTAGAAATTGCATCTCATCTTTTCAATAAAACTTGGATTTTTAATAATAATATTGGCTACAATTAAATCTTCCCCTCCTTAACCCCAAGCCACCGGGCATGGCATGTACATACATGCCATCGACCACTGTGTCTTGAATTTAGTAATTGTTTTTACATATAGATGACTCCACAAGTACCAAGTCACCAATGAGCCAATTACGCAAACCTGTCTCACCTGTTTATCCTTTTCCTTGATTTTCAATATTTTCTAATATCATTACTGCTGTTAGTAATTTCAGTAACAATATAGTAATGTAATGTTTATAACAAAAATAAATGTCAAGATTGATAGCATTAGTAAAAAAAAGCGTTTTCCTGCTTTTTCAAGGAAAAGTGAGGTTGCAAGATCTACTAATTGACTCCTTTGTGGCAGAGCCATCTATGTGCAGAAACATTTAACCAAGCATTGACAAGGGGAATGCACCGTTTTCCCGTTTACATTGGGTTAATGTGAGAACTCAAGAGTTGGTAAAGAAAGAGAAAAAAAACATTATTATTCAATGATTTTATTCCACCATACTGAACTTTTTACCTTCACTTCAAGGTAAAGTACATAAAATTAATCAAAATATATACTTTCACAAAACGTATTATAAAAAATATAGTGTTTATGGACGGAATGTTTTTCTATAATCGACAGATTCTTTTAACGGATTCTTACGTACTAAAAATCTTTTCATTTTGAATTACAGTAATACTATTCTGTACTTAATTTAAGTTTAATCAGTCTTAAGAAATGAATGTTTTAAAAGATGTAATGTGAGGTCCTATGAGCCTTATCAACAATAAAATAACTACTTTTTTGTGGCATTCAAGAAGAACATTTTTCTGATTTTACAAAATGGACTCAAAATATTCCTATGTCCTATATAACATTTTTAAAAGTCTCAATCACAAAATTCAACAACTTCTGTACCTGCTGTACACAAAATTTAACATGAAGTAAAAAATATCTAAGCTTAAAGCTCAAAACAATAGCCAGAAAATTGAGACTTAGTAATAGATATAGTCTTGCGAGATCTGGGTGATCTCTGGAAAATTTTGCTCAAATTTCATTTTTCAACACAGACCACACTACATATTAGATGTATCTTGTATGCCATAAAATACATGTCAGTATCATTATTAATATCTAAAATCGTGAAATTAACAATAAAGATACTAAATGACAATAATAAGAATCACTGTCATTATAATTGTTAGAAATACAATGAAAATAACTGACAAAACAGAAGGGATTTATTCATTGCCAACACTTTGATGCATCAAATTTGCATTATTTATCCACAAGAACTGACAAAAGTTCCAATCTATTTAGTTCTATCTTTGGGAGCTCAGCATCATCCTGAATCTTGAAAATATATATATACATATATAGAGAATAATAATAATAATTATAATAATAATAATGAAAAAAAAAGTAAAGAAAAAGATCCTAATAATATGGTTAAATACCCAAAAATGTCACACTTGAAGTGCTGTGCAAATAGTAATTGAGCAAAAAACATAAAAACTTGAAATACAATTTGAGGAAAATTTTGCAGCACTTTTGGCTGACTTCAGGCATCAGCTTAAATATACCTGGAATCAACATTGGCATAGAAGTGAGGCTACCGACACAATTTGCATATGAGGATGAGTAAAATGTGAAATTCAGTGATTGCTGTTATTTACTTTAAATCAACTTCAAGGTAGAAAGGAAGGAAATAAAATAAAATAAAATGACAAATGAGTGAACAAACATAGTAGAATAGCAATTGAAGACCAACAAATTTCGACAAATCTATCAGTAGATGGATGCTTATTCTCAATGACTGGCTGACTGGGAGGGTCATGTAGCCTGTATCTGCCAAGAATGATTTGTCACTCTCTCCAGGGCCTTTGCCTCAGTACCATTTAAAATTTGGTGCAACACATGGATTTGGAGAATAGAAGAGAAAAAAATACATCTTCATACCAACATCCTTGAATACTTGCCTCAGAATATCTGAATAGTTAGCCTATGACAGGCTAAAGAAACCTAGGTCATTTACCTTCTTTCACTGTGATTTGTTTTCACAATTAATTACTGTTTCCCTTGGTTAAAAATTGTACTCCTTTTAACTTGGTACACTAAGCAAAATTAAGTCTTATTCTGACAACCTAAAAACACACTGCTGGAATTTACCTGCCAAAATTGGCTTCCTTAATATCTGCTTTTACTGGAATTCTTCTAAAATAGATTAAGCATCTAAAGGGACTAACAATATAACAAAATATGAAAATCACTTCATAAAAATTCTGGACAGATAAATGGACGGAATATATTTAATAAGTACTTAACATTCAATTTTCTTATGACTTCAATAACTAAATTCATAGTTTCAATAATACTAACATATGATGATGTAAGGCAATAGCTGAGTTGCAAGACATTGTGATTTATCAACACTAATTATTTCTGTTTTTCTCAAAAAACATTACTTTCTTTACAGAAAAACTAATAAATCTAAACCCTCATGAAATCTTCAACTGGTCTGTGCATTAAAATCTAAAAATGGCAGATGCACTGCAAGATGCAAAGCACTGTTGAGACTCATCTTCTTCCATGGAATATCATTTCAATACAAAGAGCATTGTCTTGGTCCATGATATATCATATCTTTGCATTTTCTAAGCAAATCTCTTTAACTTTTCATGATCAGTGGAACATTGGTAATAAAAGTGTGAACGTTCCTGCTAACAACATCAATGCAATGTTTGATGTGACTGTAGATGAACCCAGCTGAAAAAGAGGATAAAATGAATATCTTGGATGCTATATACTAAAAGGTACAAATGATCCATTCTATGTACTGCATTTTTAATCTAAAACTCAATATTTCAGCCACACAACTGACAAATTAAATAGTAGCTAAAACCTTATTTGACTGACCGTGATGAAATAATTGCAACGATCTCCTTTGCAGCATTCAGCGCATTTCCAATCTCTCCACCAGATCCGTTGACAATAGGGCATATATTCTGATTTGGTAGTCACACATTCATCCGCTGTTGCACATTTCTTGCTGATGTAATACTGCATTGGGGCACCGATCTCCCAGAAGGGTGTACCTTTGTACATGCAAATGAGTCAATGTATTCACAGGCAAAATCTAGGCAAACAATATAGTCTATCTCAGTATTACATCATAATCATCATATCTTGAAAAATAAATACTGTGTCACTTACTTCCCCATCTAATTTCCGAAAGACAGTAATCTTCTCCAAAGCTGCATTCCTGCACTGTTGTTGCACACTTCCCGGTGTTTTCATCTTGGTCCTTGCAGACATAGCACTTCTGACCCCATACTCCTTTAAAACAGATATGTATTTTGAGTTTCATGTTTACTTAAAAAAAATAATAATAATAACTTCTGTTTCTGTGCTGGTATCTTTATTTACCAAGCCAGCTATATAACAGAAAAAGCAGAACCAAGTTACTGTGCAAATTATGGGAGTATTCTGGTGTTCATAATGTGCTTATTTATCAATTCTACCAAATATTACCGTTATATCTGGTTAGCAGACATCAATAGGGGACCAGTGATACCAAACTTGTTCGGTTTTAGTATGTGGACTGGTTTCAGAAAATTACTTGTTTTCCTTCTATGATTATGGAAAATGAGAAGAATTCAATAAGTTCACAATCTTAATAACAATCTAATCTAGAAATTAACAAATATGTTATGCTTTTGGTAATTTTATAGTTCTACACAGCCATCATACTTTGCAATTGTCATTTCTTGTTTCAATCGTAATTCTTTACAGTACAGATGCTCTCACCCAAGACTAAGTCCCCAACTCCGTCACAAAATTTATTCATCACCCTAAGCTGCTATGACAGGGCGTGCCCCAAGGGGAGGGTTGATGGGGGGCTTTGCCTCCCAACAACCCCCCAAGGAAACAATGCCTTCACCTCACTGTGAACTGCTGAGAGCGGTGATTTCTGCGATCTTTTACCTTCATTTGTGGCTTCAACTTTCATGTATGCAGGTTATTTCTTGCACCAATGATTGCGTCCTTTTGCCCTCTACAAGAATATCATATTCAATTTGCCCTAACTTAGTGTGTCCATACCATAAAGATTCACCGTTTCAATTATTCATCATGTAATATACGTGAATCTGTTGTTTTCCATTGCAAATGACATAGGTGAAAGCATTGGTAATTATTATGTTTATGAAGTGACCTTACCGTGCTAAGAATAATTTTCTATTACTCCAGCCACTCTTGCAGATTCACGAACATTGCCATATTAACCAAAGAACTTTCCTAACCCTGGGCCTACATCCCCAGTCCCCCATCCTAATGCTATACTTCCCCCTTGCACCCCTACACTATCACCATAGACTTATTCTCCACACTGCATTTGCCACAACCTATTTTCTTACTTCCTGATGTTATTCTTTACCTATGATAAAGACCTTTGATATTCCAGTAAATGTATATGCAAGTACTAAGTGTTTAACAACTTTTTTTTATTACCAACTTGTAAATTAAATACCATAGTTGTAAAGTTTTTTTTATTTTCTGTAATTCTATCCATTACTGGCAAGTTTATCTTATAAAATATGGATTTCTTTATCAGTTGTAGCTATAGTTTGGTTTCCCACAATCTTGTAGGATAAAGTAAAATTTGCCTGTAATGGACAGAATGACTGAAAATATGACACTTTTCATCTACAGCTTTACCTTTGCAAATTGATAATAAGGCAATTTGGTATACATTTTCAATATATATAATGGCACTGTAATAATCAAAGAGAAAATCTACACTCACTAATACAACATGAAATGATCTGCATTAACAAAATAGGTGGTTATTCAGGTTACGACAAATGCTATGCGGAATGAAATCAATGATAGTCTGGCGAGGGTCCGAGAGCAAGGTTTCGGAGCCTAAGAGGGTATTATTGGAAATGCAACCCCACACCTAATTTAAGGAATCTGAGCTTAACATGTGGTATAACTCATCATACTATAATAGATTTCTTCTATACCATTTTCTGCGCAAATTGATAATAACAGTGTTAGAGAGGGTATGAAATCCACAATTTCAAGGAGCCACAGTAACATTATGCTTCCACCGCTGCGACAAAATGACAAAAACTTGTTAAGAGCGACAGAGCATCAGATGGATGATGTATGCAAGGGAAATCAAATGAGCCAATTAGATTCATGTGTGCAGTTGACGTGAACATAGACACTAAATAGAACCAATCAGATATGGAATAGATTACCAAGTGACAATAGAAGCTGGGCCTAGGAGAAACCTTTTGAAATTCAAATCAGTTCCATCTTGGCTAGACAGTGTGTAGGTCATGAGAACAATTATTTTCATTTCACTGCAAAATATCAACAAAATAAAGAAGCAAGCTTACTAAATCTACGAGATCACAGTGTACTGCCAGTGGAAGTACAATGCCCTCAATGTTAGACATCATGTCACTACAGAAATGACAGACACC